AAACTGTTGATGATGATGATATTAGTAATGATAGAAATGCTGAAGATGTGATGATGATGATAATGATATAAGATAAGAATGATGATATTAAGGATCATGATGATTAAATAACATTGTTTATATATAATGATATAATAAAAAAAAACTTAGTAGATGATAATGATAATTGAATATTGAATATAACAATAATAATAGTGATATTCATTATGCTTATTACTATAATAATGATAATGATTGCAATGATAATTAATTTCTGATTTCCAAGCCATGAATTTACCAATTTTATGAAAAATCCAACACAATTTAGAAATCACTCTGTGACAAACTGTTTGTGTAAGGCGCTGAAATTTGGATATATTATTATATATTATAATATAATGATAATTCTGTAATTACTATTATCATTGATATTACTCATTTTACCATTATCATTACCATTACTATCATTATTATTACGAACGTCATCATTTCTATTATCGTTATCATCAACATTATCACAGTTATCATGCGTATCATTATCATTGCTAGTATCTTTAACATTATCAATATTATTGTTATCATTTTCATTATTAGAATTGCCGTCCTGTTCTAAAGCCATTGTGCCGTTCTTACTTCATCACGTCTTTACTGTATGTCTGTTTTCCTGTCTGTCTGTCTGTCTGTCTGTCTCTGTCTGTCTGTCTGTTGTTCCGTCCCTGTAGATCGTAGATTTGCCTCAAATGGAGATTCCGCTTGAAATAGAATATCAAAATATATAAATTACCTTCATCCATTTCATTGTAACTGAACTAATTTTATTTCCTTATTCTTTTTCTATTTATTTCATTGAAATTAAACCACTTTTCTTTATTTCCTTACTTATCTATTTGTTACTGAACCAACTTAATTAGTTTCCTTAGTTATCTATTTATCTAACTAACTTCATTTCCTTGTTCATCTATCTCAACTAAACTTCTTTTTGTCTTTTATCATTTTTACCTTTTATCTTTTATATTTTATCACTTTTTATTTTTATTTTGTCTTTACATTTTGTATTGGAATTTTTATTGTGTATCCCTTTGCTCTTTTGTGATTTTATAGTATGTTTATACATCTACATTTTGTGTCTTTTTCTACATCTTGCGGTATTTTTTGTATTTTTATACTCTAGTCTTCTTTGTATTGTTTGATTATTCTGTGGTCTTATATATGTACATATATATATCTACATATATATATATATATATATATATATATATATATATATATATATATATATATGTATATATATATTATATGCATATATATATTCTGTGTTTATCTTCTTTGTATTTAATAATTCTGTAGATTTTTTGTGGATTTTTTTTTACTTTTTTTATTTTTTTAATGTTTGTATCATTATTTTGTGTTTTTTTTCTATGTTAAATTTTCTATATTCTCACTGTATTTTTGGTTGCATTTTCATTTCATGTTTAGTTACATATTAATTTCTATTTACTTTACGTTTATTTCACATATACTACACTTTACATACTTCACACATACCTACCATTTATACCAGCAAGGCAATTGAGGTAAAGCTCCTTGCCAAGGAACAACGCGTCGCATCGGCCGGTGACTCGAACGGGCTAGAAAGTGTGTAATTGTATTTGTGTGCATGTTTGCTGTCTGGCAGTGTGTGTGTGTGTGTGTGTGTGTGTGCAAGCGTGTGTGTATGTGTATGTGTGTGTGTGTGCGTGTGTGAGAGAGAGAGAGAGAGAGAGAGAGAGAGAGAGAGAGAGAGAGAGAGAGAGGTGAAAAGGAAGGGGAGATACAGGGATTGTTAGAGGAGAGAGGGCGTGTAGGTAAGGATAAGGAAATGGAGAATTGGTAAATACGTGAGATGAAGAGAGAACAAAGGCTAAGAGAAGAAACCTGAAATAGAGGGAGGATCGTTAGGGATATTAGAGATGAAGGAAAAGGAACGAGGTAGGTAGAAGAGGAGGAGACGATGTTAATGACATTGATAACAATAATGATGATAATGATTACGGTGATAAATGGCGATGAAGATGAAAATAATGATAATGATAATAACATTAATGATAATACTGCTATAACGATATGAAGAATAACAAAAATAATAATAATAGTAATAAGAGCAATAACAATAATTAAAACAATAATAATGATGGTAATGATAATGAGATGATAATGATAAGGAGATGATAATGATAATGAGATGATAATGATGATGATGGTGATAATGATAATAATGATAATAGTGATAATAATATTCACAGAATAATATTGATAACAATAATGATTATAATAATGTAATAGTAGTAATGATGATAATCATGATGATATAATAATGATTCTCATAACAAGTAAGGTGTTCTATGTTCTGTGATTATCAACATTTATGCATTGGTGTGCTAGACGTCGTGTAATGGTAGCGTGAAGCACGTTATCCTTATCATAGTGACATAATTATTATCATTGTTAATATAGAAAAGACCGAGCATAATTATCAACTAGA